CATCACACAACAAATTGAAACAATAGGAATGGCAAATGGGTGGATTATATAATTTTTTAGGTAGATCATAATGAATTGGATAAAAATAACTTATAAATCCATTTAGATTTGTTAAAAATTCATTTAAAAATCCATTCTATTCAAAAAAATATATCCAATCAATCCATTAACAATTTTTCATTTATGGATATCTAATCCATTCATGAAACTAATGTTGTAAAAATTAAATAATTTTTATTTTCAAAATATTTTTTCTTTCTCCTTTGTTTATAAGTCATTACATTCTTATATAACCTATTAAAATTTACGAGACTTTTTCTTAATATCAAAATAGTCTTTTAAAATCTTGATTAATAAATATCCCATATTTTAATTCAATAAATTTTAAAAATGTAGTAAATGAATCAATAACTATTCATAAAATTAAATGAATGGATTAAATCTGATCCATTATTTATTTTTATTGTAATGAACCGATTTACTTATGGATTGATGATAAATAAATGAATTCATTTACTACCATGATTGGCTAGATTTTAGTTTCATTTACTTCTTTGGTAATATTTAGCCTTTAATTTTTCTCAATGACCATTAATATGTGTAATCTGAATTGTAGTACAGAAATTCCAATTTATGGTGGATTGGCTTCAAAATTCGAATCCGGGATAAAAGCTTCGTGGATTGTTGTAGGATATGCAATGCGAGGTTTACAATATTATGATTATTTGATTTGATTTTCTTTTATAGTATAATATATTTGTAATCGTATTTTATTTCATTTTTTAAGTCAATATTTTTTTTATATACAAAATGTAAAGGATTTGCATTCTCTTTTGAATAATGGAGGTTGCTAATATGCATGTCAGTGTACAAGACAACAAGAAGGCAAGATGTGTTGGTTGATCCAACTAGAATGTTAATTAGTGCTTATAATGGAGTTTTCATGTACATATTGCACATGCTCAGCAAGAATTCTGAAACATATATATGTTGATCGAAAGACAAAATATGCGTCTAATATTCTAATTTTAACTTTAACAAAATAAAAATTTGGAGAGACTGTTTAAATCACTACAAGATACATGTATTCAAGGACATTGCCATGCACAAAAGTAAAAGTGGAGGAGGCTGCAAAGGGAGGGGAAGGCAGAGGTGTACCATGTTGAGTCATTAGAGTAGGAGAAGAAAAAATATATATCCAATGTTAAAGGTGTAACATATTATTTTAAGATCGATATAATTCGATGATAGAAGAAAGTGATGCACGTACGATAGACCATCTACAGCGATGATTCACATGCATGCAAGAGCACATCGTTATCAAAATGATATTAATAAACAGGTGTGCTATAATGTGTTTTCAATTATACTCTGATTTGTGTCCTATATATTAGGATCTACTTGCATATATTTAATTATTTATTGTATTTAGAATTCCTGATTTAGGTTGTATTATTTAGGAATTAGAATATTTATCACTAATAGTTTTAGACATGTCTTTTCTATTTATGAAGATGTATAGAAGGGAAAAGGGTGATCCAAGTTAATATTTTGACAAGTAAAAAATTTTCCTTCCTTTACACCAAAAGCTTACTTTTCCAAGTTTGATCGCATTTCATTGTCAAAAACCTTCACTGCCAAATGGTGGACCAAGATTATTGCACCCAGTGCACTCAAGGAAGGTCTTCCTATACAATGCTTTCATGGTATTCTCACAATTGATGTATTTTTCGGCTTTGCGGAGTAACTCCTCCATCGAGCCAGGCCTTTGACACCTCTGATTTTACTCTTTTATGAAGATAATTCATTTTTTTAAAATAGTTTAGTTTTTATATAGTGCAGTTCAATTTTTTGTTTTACAAGAAAATGTCTTGATCAGTTTTTCATGAAATCAATTTAGTTTTAGAGTTTAGTTCAATTCATTATCAGTTTAGTATATTTCAGTTTTTTTTCACTCCTAAGATACTCAGACTCGTGTAAACTCCTAATCAGAATTGTCATTCTAGTTTTATTGATTCTCATATTTTAATTATTTATTAATACTTTAATTTTTCAAGTGGTAGAATTTTAAAGTATTTTAATTATAAATTAGTACAATCAATAATTATAATATTATTAACCGATATTACTAGAAAAATGTTATTTTCCAGCAAATTTTTTTATAAAAAAAATATTCGCAGAAATTTTTTACAATAATAAATTTATAAATTTTTTTTGTAAATTTATTTACGAAAAATAATTTGCAGAAATTTGTTATAATTTTTTGGTTAAAACTCCTATTTGGTCCCTGATAACATTTTTTTTGTTTCAATTTAGTCCCACTTTAATTTTTGGTCTTAATTTGGTCCCCAATAATTTAAATTATTGCAATTTGGGACTTCCATCCAAATGATTTAAACGGAGTTAACTATTGGCTACGTGGATGCCATGTAGATGTGTACGTGGACGCCAAATTGCATGAATACACCTGGAACCAGAACGGCCCGTTCTAAAACCAGAACGACCTGTTCTAGTTTTAGAACGGGCCGTTTTGGATTCAGAACGGCCCGTTCTAGAAAGCCAACTCCATGTATTCGTTGACCAAAATGTCTCAATGTGATTCAAAAATTGAAAATAAAAATCATAACATATCATAAATTCAAAGACAGAAACATGGTTTAGAAACTGAAAACAAAAATTCAGAACATAACATATACTAAAAAAGTTCAAAGAAATTACTGAGAAAGGAAATCATCTAAGTAACGTTGAAGGGAAACTCTAAAGCACAAAAATTCAGGTTGTACCTCTTCAAGAACATGTTGTTATTGTTGGGGTACATCGTCAATGACTTCAAGGAAAACACTGTTTTGTTTCATCCTTGACTGTATAGTATCAATTTGGTAGTAAGTGGTTCACTCCAGTTTGACTAACAATGAAATAAAATCCACTACCATTGTCTTTAGTGATACACTGCATTAGCCTTAATGATACACTGTATAACCCAACTGTTTAGCAATTGAAGTTATCAATTTTCATTGACAATATTACCAAATCCAGTGTTTGAATCCTTTGTACCTTGGATCTTTTTTCTTTCACGATTCACAACCGTAAACTATAATCAGTGACCATTCGTGTTTGGTATTCTGGAACCACAATGGCCTGTTCTGAAACCAGAACGACCTGTTCTGGTTGCACTCTTAGTATGTTAAATTTGCACCTAGAACGAGCCATTCCGGATGCAAAATTAACACACCAAGAGTGCATCCAGAACGCCCAGTTCTAGTTTCAAAACGGGCCGTTTTGGTTCCAGGTTTTTTCAGAAATTTTGGCATCCACGTACGCATCCACGTGGCATCCACGTAGCCAACAGTTAACTCCGTTTAAATCATTTGGACGGAAGTCCCAAATTGCAATAATTTAAGTTATTGGGGACCAAATTGAAACCAAAAATTAAAGTAGGATTAAATTGAAACAAAAAATGTTATCAGGGACCAAATAAGGGTTTTAACCTAATTTTTTTATGAAAAATAATCTATAAGAAATTTTTTCAAATTTTGCTACAATTTTGATGGTCATAGAATATTTTTTAATGGTACAAATTTGCAGAAAATGTGGTAAGAAACTTCTTTTGTTTCTCGTAGATTTTCTTGCAAAAATAAATTCGTAAGTAATATTTATTAATATTATAATAAATGGTAAAAAATTTCGTAAGAGTTAGTTTCAATCTTGTTAGAGTGGATTTCGGGCCAAGCCTAAATGAACATCTTATTGTAGCGATTAACACTACTACAATGATGTTAAATATGTGTGAAATAGAGTCACTTCTACAAAACAAAAAGGGAAAAAGTCAGTTATTGAATGGAGAATTTATGAAATAAATAATAACAATAATTAATATTAAATATATATAAGTAGTTAATAATTGGATGTGAGCTAATTATTTAAATGATATGTGATATTTGAATTTTATTTACAAAGAAGTAAAGATTAAAAAGAATAAAAAATTAAATAAAAAAAAGTACAAGAAAGTGTTTTGAAAGTTAAAAGACAAAATAATCGATAAAATATATACACTAACAAATCATCTGTATGATGGAATAGGATGAAGAAGGGAATAATATGGTTCATCACGCAAACTAGTTTTTAACAAAGTCAGTAAATACTCATGTCAATATTATGGTAAAAAAAAATTAATCCAATATACTCTTACGTAATTAATTTAAATTTGCATAAGCAATAAAATTCTAGCGTAAGATAATTTATCTGTGTATATTTATCATTTTACTTTTTAATATATTATAATTGCTACAAGTTTTTATCTTTAACAAAGTAAGATGGCCACGCAAAGTGTACATCTAGTCATTATATAAAACCACACGCTTCAGTATGTCATCTTGAGGCTAACATGTTCTACCCCACGCATCTTGTACTCTATCTCTATGAACAATTGTAGTGCTACGTCAAATAAACTAAACCTTTCCGCTAGTATCTAATCTCTTCCAATACTTATTTTAGGTATATATTACGACATCCAAATATGCACTTGCAATGTTTTCAAAACCAAAGTGCATATTAAATTGGTGAGAGAGCTCATGATCATCATAATTGGAATTGTTCAAGCAATTAAAATTTTCAATTGAACCAAGTATTTGAATACTTGATTAAAAAATATAGTCAATTAAGACTAAATGTATTATCATTCAATGACAAATTTAATTTCTAGAATCAATGATTTTCATATTCGAATGAAAGATGTAGTCAATTGACTCAAGAAATATATGATAAAGAGGGATCTGTGTCTCTCATCTTCATCGTTATTCACGTCATCTCATTTTAGCTTATGGAGTTTCCTTTAATTTTCTTTTCAGTTAAATAATTTTTTGTTGAATCTTTCTTCTCTTGCTTGTTTGCTTTGGAAAAGTAGATGGAGACAAAGGGGGTAGGAGTTAAGCCGTACTAGTTATATAAAGCCTTTTGCTCTGTTTTCAATACATGCTATAACTCAGAATTGTGATCTTTTGTTGTTTTTCTTACCAAATTTCATATCTAGTAAATTGCAATGGGCACTAACTTTCTGGAAATCTTGTTTGCAGTTAGTGTGCTTTTTGCATACCCAAGTGTTAGAGAGCTCACATGTGAAATGCAATGAAAGGGAGAGACAAGCACTCCTCAACTTCAAACATGGCCTTTTAGATGACTTTGGCATGCTGTCTACATGGAGGGACGACAAAAATAGCAGAGATTGTTGCACATGGAAAGGCATTGAATGTGACAATGAAACAGGTCACCTAAGGATGCTTGATCTTCGTGGTAGTGATACACAAAATCTGAAAGGTGCAATCAATTTTACTTCATTGATTGAGTTGCAAAACATGGAATATTTGGATCTTAGTTATAATAATGGTCTCACTGCCGGTCATATTTCAGAACTCATTGGCTCTTTCAAAAACTTAAGATATCTCAATCTGTCACGGTTGTATTTTAGTGGGAGGATTCCATATGAAATGGGAAATCTCTCAAAGTTGGAGTTTCTTGATCTAAGTTATAGTGAAGTGAAGGGAGAAATTCCTTCTCAACTAGGGAAGCTTACTAAGTTATGGTATTTAGACCTAAGTTACAACGATATTCATGGAAAAATTCCTTATCAACTTGGAAATCTTTCGCAGTTGAGGTATCTTGATCTTTCAGGATCTTCACTTTTTGGAACAATCCCTTTCCAGGTTGGAAATCTTTCGCAATTGAGGTATCTTGATCTTTCAGGATCTTCACTTTCTGGAACAATCCCTTTCCAGGTTGGAAATCTTTCTATTTTGCACACGCTTAGACTTGCTGGCAATTTTGATCTTGAAATTAATGATGCAAAGTGGCTATTATCTCTCACTTCGTTAGTGGCTCTTGGCTTGCCATTTTTTAATCTTGGTTCCTCTCAACACTTGCTACAAATTATCAGTGAGCTTATTCCAAACTTAAGAGAGTTGAGTCTTAGTGGTTGTAGTCTTTTAGATGATAATATTTCATCTTTGTTTCCTTCTCATTCAAACCTTTCTACTTCTCTTTCCATCCTTGATCTCTCTGAAAATATGCTCACATCATCAACATTTCAATTGTTGTTTAACTGTAGCCTTAATCTCCAAGAGCCTTATCTTTCTCTAAATAATATTGTTTTGCCGTCTCCTCACTTTCCAAACTTTCCTTCTCTTGTGATCCTTGATTTGTCTTATAATAATATGACATCATCAGTATTTCAAGGAAATTTCAACTTCAGCTCCAAACTTCGAGAACTTAATGTAGTAGGTTGCAGTCTTACAGATAAAAGTTTTCCTGTGCCATCTACTTCCATTCAAATTTCTTCATCTTCTCTTCGCACCCTTGATCTGTTCTCTAATCAATTGAAATCATCAGCTATATTTCATTGGCTTTCCAACTTCACCACCAATCTTCATAGGCTCTCCCTTTCTGAAAACTCGTTAGAAGGTCCCATTCCCGATGGGTTTGGAAAAGTAATGAACTCTCTTGAAGTTCTTGAACTTGGATACAACAAACTGCAAGGTGAGATTCCAACTTCCATTGGGAATATATTCACATTGCAGAAACTATACCTTCACAATAATAATCTGCAAGGCAAGATTCCAGCTTCCCTTGGGAATATAAGAACATTGCAGGGATTATACCTTCAAAATAACAAACTAGAAGGCGAGATTCCAACTTCACTTGGGAATATATCTACACTGCAAGATTTATGCCTCAACAATAACAACTTGAGTGGAGAAATTACTACCTTCATTCAAAATTCTTCATGGTGCAACAAACAGGTATTTCATACTATGGATTTATCTTTTAATCGGATTACTGGCAAGCTACCTAGTCTTTCAATTTTTACATCATTGAGGGAATTATATCTTTCAAATAATCAAATAACTGGTGATATCACTGAATTGCATCTCACAAATTTGAAAAAATTGGAGGTGTTAGACTTAACAGACAAAATATTGTCTCTAAAGGTTAGTACTAACTGGGTTCCACCTTCCCAATTATTTCGTTTGGGACTAGCTTCTTGCAAATTGGGTCCTACTTTCCCAGGTTGGCTCCACACTCAAACTCGATTAGAGTTTCTAGATATTTCTAATGCTGGGATTGATGACTTTGTACCAGAATAGTTTTGGAACAAGTTACAGTTTATAAGCAAGACAAATATGTCTAACAACAATCTCAAAGGTACAATTCCAAATTTATCAATCAAGCTTACCAATGCTGAAACATTTGTAATTCTGAACTCAAATCAACTTGAAGGTGGAATTTCTATTTTCTTGTCACAAGTTTACCAATTGGATCTTTCCAAAAATAAGATTACAGATTTCAGTACATTCTTGTGCGGAAAGAATGCAATTACAGAAATGCTCACTTTGGATTTGTCAGATAATCAAATAATGGGACAATTGCCCGACTGTTGGGAACATCTAAATTCATTAAAATTTCTTGATCTAAGCAATAATAAATTGTCAGGGAAGATTCCACAATCCATAGGTACTCTTTTTAATTTGAAAGTTTTATAGTGTATTTGGATAGGAAATTTAAATAGAGTAATTCATTTATTTGAAGAATTTCAAATTCTTTGAAGTGAAATCTCTTGTTTGGATGGAGGATTTTTAAAGAATTTGAAATTCAAACATTTGTAAAATTCTTTAAAATAATAGAATTCCAAATTTTTCTAAAAAAATAAGAATTTGAAATTCTTCATATTTTTTCTTTTTTTTTTATTTCACTATTATATATTTTATCTTATCTCTCTGTTTAAAAATTAGATAATATTTATTTTTATAAAATTTAATTTAAAATATCAATATATAAATATATTTTTTAAATCAATTTTACCATGGTAGAATCAAATTATTATATTTAATCTAATAATTTAAAATTTAAGAAATTTGAATTGACTTATCCAAACAAAATATTTTAAGAATAATAGAAATTAAAATCAAAGTAATTCAAATACCAAGAATTTAAAATTCGTTGAATTTGTAAAATTTTTCATCCAAACACATCATTAGTCTTACGAAACAACAATTTAATTGGAGATCTACCATTCACGTTGAAGAACTGCACTGGTTTAGCTTTGTTAGATGTGAGTGAGAATTTGTTATATATATGGACCTATACCCTCATGGATTGGAGAAATTCTACAAAATTTGAAAATTTTGAGCTTGCGAGTTAATCAATTCTTTGGAAGTGTTCACGTACATCTTTGCTCTTTGAGACAAATTCATGTCTTGGACCTCTCAATGAATCATTTGTCTGGAGGAATTCCGACATGTCTCAGGAATTTTACAACAATGATGGAAAGGGAAGTAATTACAAGGAGAAGATATACATATCGAAAATTGTCATCTAATGTGATTTACAATCAGGTGTATGAACCTAACGTGTTATTGATGTGGAAAGGTGTGGAGCATATTTATTTAACAGGTGAAATACCGAAAGAGGTTGGATATTAACTTGGATTAGTTTCTTTGAATTTATCAAGAAACAACTTAGATGGAGAAATTCCAAAATTGATCGTCTTGCCATGTTAGATTTATCAAACAACGAAGATGTGACAACAACAACAAAGCCTCAAGGATCTACATTCATGGTGAAGATAATAATTCAATTTTCTATGAAGCATTACACATGAGCTTGGGGTTGGGATTCTTCACAGGCTTTTGGGGCTTGTTAGGGTCAATAATGCTTTGGAAATCATGGAGAAATGCTTACTTGAAGCTCTTGAACAAACTTACAGACTATATATTTGTACGTAATGGTTGAAGTAAACAAAACTAAATTCCATAGGTGGTTTAAAGGCTAGCAGGTACGTAACTCCAGTATCTTCTTTTGAACTTAAGTGTTTATTTCTCTACCTTATATATTAGTTTAATAAATCAATAAATTATTTTTATATGGAAAATGATAATATTTTTCTCTAAAAAAATAATATACATCTTGGCATGAATTTTATTTTTAAAATTTACTTATTATTTTCATTTTTTAGCCTTTCTATTGCTAATTTGAATAAGTACTATTTTACTTCATTATATATTTTTATATATGTTGCCACATATGCACATATTGGCTTTCAACAATTTAAACCACAACACTGCATTTTTCATATATGTGGATTTTATGATGTGTGTTGATGTATGTTGTTTAAGTGTTTTTAGTTGTCTTTTATAACACCAAGGGTTAAGGAATCTTTGACAGGATGCTTTTAGTTGTTTAAGTTGTGATCATGTTTGATTAAAAATGAGAGAGATATGTATAAGGCTTTTATAAACAAAAACTTCACAAGTTCGTTTCTCAACCTTAAGAGAGAAGTTATAGAGAGAAAAACTTTGCAATCAAGAATGATATTTACTTCTTCTAATTCTATTAAGAGCATCCTTATCCTCCTCTGAAGCTCAGTTGGGCAGATTCAAGTCCTGTGGAGCTTGAATTTGAAGAGAAAAGTCAATCTTAGAGGGGTTTCTTGAATATTCTTCTGCCTTTTCTTCAATTTCTTGAATATTAAGTTATTTATGGATTTTGTGCCTATTGAATTATATTTATGACCTAGAGATGACAAGTCGGGCGTTGTAGGTTCGATAGGATAAAATTACTTAAATTGCTTACTAAGTTGTAGGAAATCTCCTTAATTGAAAATGCATGACGATTAGAGTTGTTAAGTTGTAAACTTGTGCATTCATCTTCTTTAAGTTGTTGAATTGTACATGTTAAGTTGTTGAATTGAAAGTTGAATCTATGTTTGAGATGTTTCCAAGTTGTTGTGTTGTTTATGTTGTTATAAGAATGTTAAGTTGAAAGTTGTGAAATGAGATATGCTAAGAATGTTAAGTTGTTGAGTTGAATATGTTGCTTATTCTCAAGTTGGATTTTGAGTTGATTTATATCAATGAGTTAAAGTTGTTTTAACACTCCCTTTTAAAGCTTTTCTTTATATGTTGATTTTTGTTACACAAATTAATTATCCTTATTTTTCATATGTTAGACTGTGATCATAACTGGTATGAGAATAGATCAAGATTAGATTGGAGGTCAAGCTTATAGTGTTGGCAACCATCTTGGAGGATGTTGTTTTCGTTAAGCTAATCTGATATAATTTGTATAGAGTTGTTTGACTCAGTGGGAGTTTATGTTTTGAGTTCCTTTATGATGTAAATGATTGTATATATTCAATGATGACTACAACTCCATAAGAGATTTTATATTTTAAGTTATATAGACAGAAATTATTTTGTTTTTCTCGCACCCTCTATAATATCCAGACATTGTTGTATGAAAATCTTAAAGTAGAAGTCAGTATTGAATCGTGTTAGTTCATTACATAAACTGACATGACTAATTGTATTTACTTCTCGAAGAGTTGATTATTTTTCTTGTTGGGAAAAAAATTGGATGGCGTGTTCGGTTTTAGAGAATTTTGTCTTTTTTCTAAACGATTTCTGTAATGTTTAAACATTTGTATACTTTATGTTTTAGACTAATGACTAGCTAGACTTTCAGTTTCATTTAGTTTATTACTACCATATATTCAATCTTTTAATTTCTCTCCTTACCATTATTATGTGTAACTTGAATTGTAGCACAAAATTTGCAGTTAATGGTGGATTAGCTTCAAAATTCCAATCTGAAAGCGTTATGCATTGTTGGATGTGTTGGATATGTAGTAGTTTTACTATGTAATGCAACTTGGTTGTCTTTTATAGTATAGTTTACTTCTAATTTTATATTGTTTTAAATCAAGACCTAATAATAAAAATAAAAATAAGTGAATATTTGTATTCCATCTTGAATGACGAGGACTGCTAATAAACCGTTACATTTAACCTGACTACAAAAATTTGTACTTGATAGTAAGAATGCGAGAAGTCCAAATAATGTTGGTTGATCCCACTACTATATTTGTGTCCAGTGAGTTTAAGCTACTCACAATTTTCATATGGGTTAAAAACCAGAACAGAAAACTATAACAGAAAAACTGGAACAGACAAGTGAAGTTTCTGTTTTGGTGCTACAAGGAAAGAGGAAGAAAAGTGTTCACAACATTTCATTACTCTTTCACTCTATTAACATAAAATTACATTACACCAATATAGGTCAATGAAGTTTTTGATATGTAGTACATAGGTTGCAGTAAATCTCCACAAAACAAGGACAAACATTCCTATTTACTTAAACATTTGACCAAGCAGCAAAAAATTCCTTAAGATAAGGATTAACACTTATCTACACCTAACCATATCAGTAGCAACTAAGATAGAAACCGAAACAAACATAAATATTTAATATTTTCTTAAATTATCTAGAAAAATCTCAACTTCTAACAATATGTCTATTGCATGCATATACTCTGCAAAAATATCAAATTATAGCATTAACATTTTCGATCAGTCTAATACTGTAGGTCTACATACTTTTCTTTTCTAAATGTAATTTATATTTTAGATTTGTGATATGTAATTTATATTGTAATATATAATTATTTTTAACTATTAATAATTTATTTTTAAAATATTAAAAAATTATTTATAAATAAATATGATAAATAAAATTAAAATAGATAGCATTACAAGAATCTTTAAAAATTCACTTATCAATAAAAGCACAAAAGGTTATCATAAAGGAAAAATTCCTAGAAACATTTTCTGGCAAGTTAATTGTTTGGATTTAACATATACAAGAGTGTTATAATATACTAGATGGACCGAGGTACTTCGTGCCTATAATAATTACACATAGACAAATATTAAAAGTTGTAGATAGTTATTTAAAAAGAATATAAGAACCTTTTTTTTTTTACATCTTAAAGGGTATAATAGTTCACTAAAAAGTGGAGATCAAAGGGGTAGTTACCAAAATATATCCCCTTTATAATAGTTCTATATATATATATACATATATATATATATATATGTATATATATATATATATGTATATATATAATAAGAATAATAACTTAATTAAAATTTTATCTATTAAATTTTTATGTAATAAGAACTTCTTATAGTGCTTAAAATTTTAATAAGTTGTTGCATTTTGAATTAGGGATGAAAAAACAACTTCTACCCAAAATAAAATCCAATGAATACTCATACTTAAAAAATATTAAAATATTTTTAATTACGAGAAGAGATTAAATTATTCCAAGAGCAATTGCATGTTAGATTTTAATAATCTAATCGGTTTAAATTAAAAAGAAATCTTAATGTATAGATCAAATTTATAAATTTTAAAAAATTTTAAAAATTATTTGATACTTTGTTTAATTAAATAAAATTAACAAGTAATCATAAAAATATTTTATATATTGATTTTTTTGTACAATTGATTTGAATCTATATAATGAAGTATCATATATTTTATATGAAGACTTGTGGTTAAATTGATCATATGTTGACTATTACTCAACAAAATTACGAAGATTAAAAAGCAAAGACACGTGGTTAGATCAGTTAAACACTGACTTCCACATGAAGATAAAAATGTGATGACCAAAAAATGACGATCCATAGTTAAAATAAAAGCCAAACACCTATGGATGCAAAGTAAAAGGGAAGTGCAAGGGAGAGAGTAAGCATACCTCACAATTTCTAAATATTG